CATTTGGTATATCGCCCCCCGTTTCCAATTCCAAAATCCATCGTGCTTTACTGGAACAAGATCAAATTTTGTTTTTTTATTAACTTCTTGGTATTTAATGACCACATTAAATTTTGATTAATGTAGAATCGAATCGCGTCAAATACCTTTAGCGAAAATTTTTTTCAATACCTGTTTCTCTATTCACATGATTTAAATTCAAAACTTTATTTAAGAGAAACCGAACTTTTTCCACTAAAACTAAGAATTCATTAGTAATTTTTTTATTTATTATTTATTTATTTATTTATTTTTGCTTACAATTACTAATATTATACCTTTGAAATAGAATTACAGGTGCCCCAGAAAATAATGAAAAATCAAGAATGGTAAGGAAATTAGGTGAAAATTTTTTAGTGAGGGGCAGGCTTATGAGATCTGGATATGGAAACAAATTCTGAAGGGAGGGTGTTGGTCTGTTTGCTATATATGTAGTATAATTTCAAATTTCCAGTCAATCGCACAGAGTCAGTATCTCGGCTCCATCCTCGGTTATTAGAATTGTGTGCTCGAACTGCGCTGATAAGCTTCCATCTTTTGTAACCACTGTCCAGTTATCATCCCACATTACAGGATGGATGCTGCCTATTGTCAGCATTGGCTCTGCAGTATTTACCATAATGTGAACTGAAAGGAATCAATAACCCATGCCACAATAAGATGATGCATGGATAATGGTGATTGATCGACGTAATATAGAATCAAAATAAGATCAATTTCGATGTGTATAATGTCTTGCCAATACATTACCAATGGTGAAGGTTTGATTCAAAACCATGCGACCACCATTGTTGTTCCCTGAATCAAGCCAATAAAAATATGAGATCAAAATACTAAAAAAAAAGGGCAGACCACAAAGATAAAAAAAGTTGAGATTAGAAAGACTACTGAAATGCAGAACAACAGGGTCAGCATGGAAAACACGCCCAACCCCATGGCCAACAAACTGTCGCACTACACCATAATGATATTTGTCTGCATGGTCACTTAAAAAACATTATTTGTTAGTGTATAAAATCAAAGTGTAGCATTTGTTGAGAGTAAACCAAAATGAACCAATCAATAGAAATATTATACTCAAATCAGGGGCAAAGCATATAAAGAAATGTAATAAAAGAATATAATGGTTGTAACTGGACACCCACACAATCACGCATACACACACATTCGACTCAATGAACCAAGTTCTAGGCAAGAATGTTATACAACATAGATTTACAGAGCTGTGAAACTTAGATGTTAGCAATTTCTCAAGCATTCAGTTCAAAATTTTGCTACTGTAGCAGTATAAAAGCCTGGGAAACCACATGCCAAAAATAAAAGAAAAAAGAACAGAGAAAAACAAAAGTATAACAATCCAATTCAGACAAATTGGTTCATTATTTCTAAAGGACTTTGCAGAGTGCAGATGATGATATAAAGCAAAGAACAAAGACTGCATCAAGAGCCTTACTGAATTGTCTTGCCAATTTTCTTGAACTCCACTCCTGGGACACATATTGATATCGCTCTGTCTAAGCATTCTTTGGTTACCTAAATATTTCAATATGAATTCATATTAATACACATCAAAGTATAAAACAATTTTTACCAAAACTGCATTGCATCCCAACTAAGCACACAAAGCTTGAAGGATGCCTTATGGGGCTTGAATCTCAGCTCGGATACAGGCTTGAAGTTTATTAAAAGGCAGCTGATTAAATCTCTAAAGAAACCAACAACTATTTTTAGACATATTCTTAGTCATTCTATTTATATTTTCTTAAGAATAGTTAATCACTGAACTGGTAAGTTAATACAGTTACATAGCTTGCAAATATCAGAGTTTTAACAGCCCAGTGCATCATCTTTTTCACTGGAAACATGCCATTTATTAAAATTTTACGACTATTACATGATATAATGAGGCTTCAGATTTAATCCATGAAGATTTAATTACAAAAGACTACCTTAACCAGGTTTCTGGCTTCCTCATCAACATCTCCACAAAAGAAAGTTGCTGATGTGTCACCATGATAACCCTGAACAAAAAATATTTAAAATAAATGAACACTAAATAGGAAGTCAAAGAACTCAAACTCTCAAAGTCAACAATTATCAGGAAAAAAATGACTTTAAAAGCTGCAAGCATGTTGTTCACATCTAAAGAATACTCCTTTACGGTCACACCACATAAAATTAACATGGAGTGGGTGAAACATGCAGTGAGATGCGACGTATGGAGTCATCGTAGGATAATCAAGTGACTTCGTTAAAATGATAATAAACAACTGAACAATACTGAGATTAGAAAATGGCCTGTTCCAGCCACACATGATCAATGGTAAGCCATATATGTGCTGTCAGATCAGGACGGTCAAATACCATTCTACACTTCTCTACAGCACAATTTCACTTGTTTACAACTAACAAGAAAAAACTGATGCGAACTCCACCGAGCGACCCGATGGTCGCGCGCCTCATTGAGGCCGGTGAGCTGTTAACCAGATCTGGGATCGAATCTCCAGTTGCTAACATCTGACAATACTAATCTACTAACCATTGCCCTTATAAAAAAAAAAAAAAAAGGAAAAAACTGATGCAGGCAAAAGTCACATCACAAAATCAACAATTAAATTTAATTAGCAATAGCTGGCTGTAAGACAATGAAATATGCTTCCATTTCACTCAAAAACTTGCATAGGGAAAAATCCTTACATTAAGATACACTGTAACATCGATGTTGATTATATCACCATCCTGCAAATAATATGTGTATTAGATATTTTTCATATTCAGAAAAACAGTAGTTAGGCAATACGGGCTGAAGCTTATCTAAGAACTCAAATAGAGAGGACCTCAAGAGGACGAGAATCTGGTATTCCATGGCAAATGCATTCATTCACAGATGTGCACACACTTTTAGGAAAGCCACCATAACCAAGAGGTGAGGGGTATGCTCCATTATGAATAATCATTTGATGAACTGCTTCGTCAATTTCATCTGTCCTTATGCCTGGCTGCCAAATGAAACACCAAGTGTACTTACAGGAAAACCTCCACCACCAATGTAATGCATACAGAATTAAAGTACTACATTCCGTCCTTTTGTTTTGGTAGAATACAATACCATGGAGAAAACTAACAGCCAAAAATTATGAGATTTTAGTATAAATTCTGTGAGGGATGAAGCTTAAAAACTATAAAGTTCCACCGCAAGAAGGGAAAAACTAAAAGATTAGTTTGGGAAAGTTAAACGCGTGGGCGAAAATATATGATGCACCAACTCCTATATCTCAAAGAAAGAGAGACAAAAACAGTTGGTTTGAAGGATGTCAATCACATAGTAACATGGTTCTCTTTGAGTACATCCAGCATAAAAGAATTATGACATTACCTTGACTAAGGTACCAGCATACTGGAGAACCTTTGCAGCAAGCCTTCCAGAAGCTCTCATGCACTCTATCCCCTCATCATTGTGCACCTCAGGTCCACTTGCAATTCCAGGCGCTTTTCGAGAATCGACATAAGGTGGCCTTTGTATATGACTTGGAACAGGTTGACAAGGGGACACCTTCCCAGGTCTCAAACGTTTGCGCCTGCTTGGCAGCTCATCCAAATCACTCCTAATTTTAATAGTGAAACCATCAAAATCTGCACTTCAACATCAAGTGTCTGTGAATGTGTATGCCTGTCTTCCCATAACTTGTACAATTTCATCTAGGCTTCCCTCCACAACCATGTAACCTCTTAAAACCCAGGATCTCTAAAAACTAAAATCAACTAGATTTCTACATTTTACTTATTCAAAAGATTAACTTTTGGACAACATAAAACTGCATAATTACTTGTATAATGAAATTTAGCATCCTATTAACAAGGATAAGTTAATTGGTCATAAATATTAAGTGAAATAAGATTTGTAACAACATGTGATGTACCTTCTATTGAATAAGAGATTGGTCAAACCAGAAAGTGTTCTGGATAATTGCATTGAAACATGCTTTTTCCCTGAGCATGAGAATTAGAAAGAATCAAAAAAAGCAAATAACATTAACAATCAAAACATCATTAACAGATTTAGAAGGCAAAAATATAAGACTAGTCGACCAGCTAAATTCCCACCAAAAACATGATGCAAGAAACCAACTTTTTAGCTCGTTTCAGAAAGTGCAAAAACTCCATACCCTTCTAAAGCAATGATTCAGAATCACACTCAACCATACTGAAATCAAACAGGAAGTCGGAACTGAAAAGGAAAGGAAGGTGAAGGACCTGGATTGGTGCCAAACAGTCGAGAAAAAGGCTGTCGCGTTGAATAAAGCAAAGGGTCACCCAGATAGGAAGAGAGGAGCCTCGGTTGCAGAGAAGAAGCCCCCACCATTATCGTCAGATTATCTGCAAATCTTTCCCTCCACTATCGGTTAGCCTCCCATTTCGGCATTTCCCCTTTCCTTTGTCTTTTCCGTTTGGGTTATAGGCTTTTAGGCCCGCGTTTCACTAACTTTGGTAGCTGACGTCGACCCACTCGATAGTGGATATCATTCAGAGTTGGGCCTATGGCCTGGCCCCGCTTTGCATGATGAGGGTGCGCTTTGTATGATGAGGGTGCGGACTCTGAGGTAGCGTTTCTGTCCCGGAATCCAATGCTCCATTCATACGGAGAGTTGCTTTGATTTTTTCACACAGTATCTCATAAAAATATTATAAATTATTATAATTAAAATAATTTTAATTAATATTTTATATAATATTATAATTATATTAAAAATTAATATTTATTTACTTTATTCCTTAAATATTAAAAAAATTATTTCAAAACTGTACCATTTTAATGAAATATCATAAAAATTTATTAAAAATTTTTAAATTTATACTTTAAAAATAAAGTTTTTAATTTTTTTAATAAAAATTTATTAAAATCAAGTAATTTTAAGATAACTTTTCTTCTTCTAATTTCTAAGGAATAAGTCATAAAATTATTGTTTTTTTATATTAATATATAATATTTTTTTAAAAATAACTATTAAATAATAATATAATTTTTTATAATAAAATATTAAAAAATTTACGATCATTCGTAACAAAATCACGCATAGTTAAAGTCAGCATCACTACTCACACGGGTACTAACCCATCTCCTGGGGCCCATAGAAGCATTATCTCTGTCCGTTCTTTCGTTCTCGCACACCAGTAATGCATTTTCCTCGTCATATAAATGATGTAAATAGGAAAATAGCGCACTCAAAATGGCCTTTTACGGCTGTCCTTTAACGAATTAGCGAAAACCATGTGTCAGAGCCTCGTGCACTACAATTTCACCGTAAGAGAGGTAAAACAGGCCGTTTGGTCCAAATTAAGATAAAATTACTGGTTAAATGTCAATTTTGATTCAACGCCTCTAGGTCAAATCACTCTAGTTATCTTTGTAAGGTTTATATGAACTCTTTTTTTAAGAATAACAGTTTGAATCGATCTCATAATTAAAATATTTAAAAAAAATATCAATTTTGATTCTTCAATTTAAGATTTTATATAATTTTTAATTTTTAATTTTTTTATATTTTTTTAATTTCTTAATTATGAAAAATATATTTTTTTAGTTCTTCTATTAGTTAATATGTTAAATCTATTTGCATTTTCATATTTTTAGTTTTTTAAATTCTAATATATACATACTTTTTATTTTTTAAATTTAAATAAACTTAATAGATTAACTAATATAAAACTAAAAAAATATATTTTTCATAATTAAGGAATCAAAAAAGTATAAAAAAGTTAAGGGATGAAAATTATGTAAAACCTTAAAGTTGAGGGACCAACATTAGCATTTAATCAAAATTATTTTACTGAATTAAATTAAATATATATTTTTTTTTTTTAGTAATTTTAATTTAATATTTTTATCTTAAAAATATAAAATTTAAATAAAAATTTAATAATTTATATAATTAAAAATTAAAAATTTTCATATAAAATTTTTGTTAAATATTTTTATTTGATTAAAATTTTTGAATTATTATTTATATAATATATTAAATTTTTATTTAAATTTTATATTTTAAAAATTAAAAAATTAAATTAAAACTATTGAAAATAAACTAAAAGAGTATTAAGGTTCCAAGTAGTTCTTACAATTATCTTCAATTATCTTCTCCCTCAGACCAAGTAGGTTCTTGAAAAGATTCTTACTTTTTAATTTTTACACAACTCTAATTGTCCGCTAAAATAGATCAAATTCTTACATTTTACACGAGAGTCTCTATGTCACTCAATACATAGAGCATTTACATCATTTCGACTCCTCTTCAAAGAGTCTTAGCAATGAAGAACTATAATACAACAAACCAAAAAAAAGAGTCTTAGCAATTTCTATATTATATTGTTTATATTATTTTATTTTATTTATATATTAAGACTTATTTTATAGTCAGGTCTCATAAAAAGACTTGTTACAATAATATTATATTTTATTTTTTTTAAAAAAATTAAAACTATACTTAAAATAGAAAAATAAAGTTACATAGAGAGACTCCTTTTCAGCTTTTACTGCAAGTGAGGTGGTCTCAAGAATTGAGATAGGCTCCAATGGGAGCAGGTCTTAAGTCAAGTGAGTATCGTTGAAGATACTTACTGCAATCGCTTGAAATGTCAATTAAAAAGCATTAAAGGGGGTACTACGACTACGAGTAATAATTTTACTACAATTAATTCTTTTTATTTATCATTTTTTTAATTAAGTTAATGGCATATTTATTATATTTTTTAATTAATTTGTTTAGAAGATGCATAAACATTAACTTTACTTTAATCAATTAATTAATTAAAAATATCTATGTGCAGTTGCAGCCTTCGCTGCGATGACAGTGCACCAACGCCCTTGGTTTCTTTGTTAAGGGTTCAAGTTACTAATGCAGCAATATTATAATTATTTTCCCTTCTTCCAATTTTTCACTGGTAAAAATAAAAATAAAAATATCTATGTGATATTGGTATTAAAAAAATTAATTTTTATAAAGTAAGAATTTATTTATATATAAGT